AATCTCCCTAAGATTTTTTTTTTTCTCCATATGGAATAATTTTCCCTTATGTTCTTATCTATTTTTTACCAGCCTTCATGCAGAGATTACACTAAGAAAGTCTTCAACCCCCTTTTTGCTGGTTTTGCTGAGAAAAACATTTGGAAAGAATGCTTTTTAAATTCTCCTATTTCCTATATGAAGAAGATGGAGAGGAAAAGCCCTTGTTTTACAGAATCCTAGAAAATCACTTGACTTTTGCACAAAATTTTCGTGGAGATTGCAGGAAGTAATCAGAAAAGACAAAACATTGTCCTTGTTTATAAAAGAAAGTTAATATGTGGACCTATGTATTGCTGATTATTGTAACTTTTCCCCTCCTTTCATTTCTCTCACCTTTGTTTTCTTTTAGGCACAAGTAAGAAATGGTGGCCTTCACTTAAAGTGCAGGTCCAGGAATCAGGAATTTATTATTTTTTTTTCCAAAAGACTTCATGTGCAGCCACAAATAAACGTTTTAACCTCTACATCAGTTCTCACACTTGATAAAAGAACGTTACCTTTATGCAGGACTGTGAGAATGAAGACCTTAGGTCCACTGTAGGAGAGGATCAGATCTGAGATCACCTGAAGAACCTGAATGTGCACAAGTCCATGGGACCTGATGAAATCCATCCGTGGGTCCTGAAGGACCTGGCGAATGAAGTTGCTAAGCCGCTGGCCATCATATTTGAGAAATCATGGCAGTCAGGTGAAGTTCCCGACGACTGGAAAAAAGGAAATATAACCCCCATTTTCAAGAAGGGGGAAATGGATGACCCGGGGAATTACAGACCAGTCAGTCTCACCTCTGTGCCTGGCAAAATCTTGGAGCAGATTCTCCTGGAAGGCATGCTAAGGCACATGAAAATCAACAAGGTGCTTGGTGACAGCCAGCATGGCTTCACTAAGGGGAAATCCTGCCTGACCAATTTGGTGGCCTTCTGTGATGGGGCTACAGAACTGATGGACAGGGGTAGAGCAGTTGACGTCATCTACCTGGATTTGCGCAAAGCGTTTGACATCCTTGCCTCTAAATTGGAGAGACATCAATCTGATAGGTAGACTGCTTGTTAGATAAAGAACTGGCTGGATGGCCGCATGCAAAGAGTCGTGGTCAATGGCTCAATGTCCAGCTGAAGACCAGTAACGAGTGGTGTCCCTCAGGGACCTGTGTTGGGAACAATCCTGCTCAACATTTTTGTCAGGGAGATGAGGCCTTTCAATGCCCTCAGCAAGTTTGCTGATGACACCAAGCTGTGTGGTTCGGTTGATACCCTGGAGGGAAGGAATGCCATCCAGAGGGACATGGATATGCTTTTAGAAGGATTTGGATTATTTTCCTCCCTTTCTCAAAAACTTCTGCTGTATCACCCCACACAATAATGTCATCAGTGTACTGCAGGTGTTCTGGAGCTTGCCCCTGTTCTAGTGCAGTCTGGATCAGTCCATGGCAGATGGTAGGGCTGTGTTTCTACCCCTGGGGCAGTCAGTTCCAAGTGAACTGGACACCCCTCCAAGTAAAAGCAAACTGTGGCCTGCACTCCACTGACCAAGGAATATGTGAACATCTTCCTTCATTACCTAGTCCCTAATACCGTGTGCCTTATTTTGGCATTGCCACTAAACTCTTAAAATGCCAAGAAAAGCAGACTAGTAGATGAAGGATTAAATAGTGGGTTAAGAAGCATTCATTCCTCTTATTACCAGGACTCGTCTAAAGTTATAAAATACCAGGATTTTTTTAAGCTAACCGGTAATCTCACTGAAGAAGATTTTCAAATGAAGCTGTGTTAAATCAAGATCATAAGCCATGTGAATGTGGTTTAGAAGACAGCTGGATTTTTTTATCTTCTGTTCTAGAATTTTGGCTGTGGCCCTGTTATAATTTTACTGCTTTCATCAGAGTGCCACTTTTCCGTGCTGCATGCAACAACTGCTTCATTTACTCAGCAGGACTTCAATATCCAAACAAGATCCAGTCTCTAAGCAGAACAAACTGTTCTAGAAATCATCCTAGAACTTAACAAATGTAGACCACTTTCTACCACTTCTGGTTTATTGCTGAAGCATCTCCTTTTATTCCTTCCCAAGGGATACCTTACACGGTTTACCCTGTAACATTCTACCATCCTTCTATGATGTTTAGCATTGTGTTTCAGGAATTGTAACCATAGTTATGAAATAATGAAGGGTTCAGTTTTGCATACTTACCTGTTCCACAAGTATGGAACAAGTTGTCTAAAGGCAAGAAAATTCATTAACACCATATACCTTATTCATTTTAATAATCTAATCTGGAAAGTCTTTTCATGGGTAAATGGACCTGAGAAACAGGTGAGAGATTATCCATATTCATACAGATGAGCCTTACACAAAAAGAAAACAGGGTCAACCTGCTGAGACTAGTTTGTAGATTACCACAGACCCATCAGATCTGGAAACAAATCCCACCGATTACGTCAGCATATGTTTTGCGTATGGTGGAAATACCTATCTTTTATGCAGAATTTTCAAACATAGGAAACAATCATGGTTTTACAGAGGTTGGGGGAGGTTTAATCATGACACATTTGCAATTCAACAGTAAAAAAAAGTTTTTCTTCTTTAATTGTTGCACATCACCGTTTTTTAATATAAGAACTGCCCCCATTTCTCTAAATATTTCTTGAACTGAGAACCAGTTATATCATGACTTGAGTTGTATAATGTTTTTCTCAACTGTATGGAGAAATAGAATGTCATAATTTTACAGAGAGAGACCTGTCTTCCCAGGAACCTTTGTTCCTTTTTTCTGGATAAATGTCAGTATAACTTATGCTGTTTATAATATATTTGTGCTGTTTATAATATTATAATATACTGTAAATAACCATACAACACTGTGGACATCGTAAAATATTGTTTTCCTCCCACAGATAGCCAGAATTTTAGTATAAGCCAGCTTGAAGAAGCAAGTAAGCATGAGAAGACAGTTGTGGAGAGGTGAACAGCAGGCTAGAAGCATTGGGAATACCTGTCTTAGGTACAACTGAAGCTTTCTAGGATCAATGGCATTTGCACCTCATTCAGGACAAAAATTTGGCACTGTCTTTATCTAACCATACTTACAATCCCACAGCTGAACTTCTTAATGAAATTCCCTCTCAGTTAAAAATAAAAAAAACAAAACAAAAAATACTGAATATGAATGTGGAAGAAAGGCAATTTGATGTTTGTAATTATCGAGGCAAACTCCATGACCTGCTGAATGTATGCAAAATGGACTCTGGATGGTGTCTATAAAATTGGCATGTGCAGAGAATAAGAGCAAGTATTGAGACTTCTTTCTGGTAGAGCAAGTCATCATACAGGATCTCTTACCATGAGCAATAAGGAGGCTTCACTGAAAGGTAAGACTTCTGCCATTCACTTGGTGATAACTTTTTTATTTCTTAAATTTAGATTGAATTAGGAAGTAACTGAAATGTAACAGCTCTAGAAACTGAGGTCTTCCAGTGAAACATAGAATCATAGACTAGTTAGGGTTGGAAAGGACCTTAAAGATCATCTAATTCCAACCCCCCTCTCACACTAACATGTCTCCACTTCAAATATTTAGTGTCCAAAGCTTGGAATTAGAAAGCAGCTTGATCTCTTTTTGGCTTAATTTGTTTATCCTAAATTTACATTTGCATTGGACAGTGTCAAAGATAATTGGCTTGAGAGATGTGACATCTCCACATGAAAGACTGGATCCAGATTGCTTTGCTACACCATTCAGAAGGCAATGACTAGAAGTCATTATCCACAAGTCTAGAAGTGATGTAGTAATTTTGAAGTGAATGTTTTCCTTACTTTCAACTTCTGGGCCAACAAGTCTCAGGTTTTCTCATTCACAGAATTATTCCCCAGTGAACTTTCCTAACTGCAGCATGGGGCAGCATGTACCTTGTTCATGGGAGAGGAGGAAGAGTTACTTCAATATTGTATAAATGCACTTTTCTTGAATTTAAAGCTAGAAAGAAACCTATCAGATGATAACACTGGTGACAGCTCTGCTGCCTGATTTGTGGAGCATTTCATTTAGCATTTAAAACAAGTCTAGGGGGTGCATATAGGTGGCAGACCAATTTCCAGAACTAAAACTGGCAGAGCACAGAACACTGTTCTTTGAATAAGTTCATTCATTTACCAAATATTTGCTTTTAATTTTTCCATTGTTTTTCTGTGCATATTTTATTTCACTGAATAAAAGACTTGCCTCTGTTAAGGTTAAAAATTTTAAACAGATGGGGTTTTGTGGTTTAGATAATGAAAAGTCCTCTACATCAGTTTCAGAAGCTCAGGAGAAAAGTCAAAAGTTCTCTCTGATTCCTTAGCAGTAAGTAACTTAGGGTTAAACTCTAAACAGCAAAGCAATACAGCTGCTAGGAATCTTCTGAAGGAGCTCCCAGGACAACCAAAACCTTAAGAGAGTGACCTAACCACCCTCCCACAAAATTAATTTAAGCTCCAAATGTCTGCAAAGAAGAAAAGGACCTGTGGGAGATGGGGGGGGACGGGACACACAAAAAGGCAAAAACAAACAAACAAAACAAACAAACCAATCTATTTTCCAAACTTATATATGTGTGCAAATATATTTATGTATCTATGTTTACACTGTGAAGAAGTTTGATTTGTTGCTTCTCCCATTTATCACTACGTAATAAAGCCAGGCATAATATGAGACTTTGGAATACATGTACACTGCAACACAAGTTATCCTTGTGTTCTCAAGTTCTGCTATACAGCCAAGATAACAATGGGGGGAAAGGATAACAGAATTACAGTGCTTTCCTCCTCCATTAATTTTCAGCAGCCAGTACAGGGGCTACTCTGAACTACTTGTCAACACAGCCAAAATCACCCTGCTTCTGGCTCTGACAGCTACTTCTAAGTGCACATACAAATCAATGTGATTCCATTTTTGTTTATTTTAAATGTGAACAGGTTTGTTGCTGGCGGCCCTTCTGGTGTCCAACATGCTCCTGACAAAAGAAGGAGTGACTTCCTTACCAATCTGCCCCAATGGATCTGTCAATTGCCAAGTTTCCCTCGGGGAACTTTTTGACCGAGCAGTTAAACTTTCACACTACATTCACTTCCTCTCTTCAGAAATGTTCAATGAATTTGTAAGTACTCTGCCTTTCCCTGAGAGCAAGAAAATAGCATAAATAGATTCAAGAATTTTTAAGCACAAACATATGTTAACACATGAAATAATTCAATTAGGAAACAAACATGACTGCTGCACAGTGATAATCCCAGTGGTGACCAAATCTGTGTATAGTGCTAACCATTGCTAAGAATTCCAACACTTCTATTAAAAGATACCATTTTCCCATCATTCTTTATCTGTGAGACAAGGTAGTGTTTGCTGGGTACCAGTTTCACACTGAAGACTCACCAGAAACTTTTGACCTTTACAGCATAAAAGCAGTGATAAAAGCAATGGAACAACAATTAGTTAATACAATGTTTGAATTGAAACTCTTCTTTCTTATCTGTTTCAATAATGCCTGCCCTTGCTGATCTGCAGGATGAACGCTATGCTCAGGGCAGGGGGTTTATTACAAAAGCAGTTAATGGCTGCCACACTTCCTCCTTAACCACCCCTGAAGACAAGGAGCAAGCTCAGCAGATTCATGTAAGTCCCATTTCTAATGTCATTCAGCGTGAGACAGAGCAGGGGCAGTGGGAGAAGAGGGAGGGCTAAGAAATAGAGAGACAGCAGACAGAAAGAGAGGGAAATCAGCACAACTGGAGAAAAAAGCCAAGAAGAAGAAAGCACCAAAAAGCCAAGAAAAGTGTATTTAACATTTGCTGATACTGAGTTACAAACTATATAGAATATGTAAGCACTGGTAACTTTCATCTTCCCTTCTGTTTCCTGCATATTACAATCAGTCATTGCATCTCATTTCCAATTACAATACGAAATCATGGAGTAATGCCTGTTACCATGCTTATACCGTACTGAGAACGCTACAATCTTTGAACACTATCTTAAAATGCTTTATTATATTAACAAACATAAAAATACATTTGCTGTGTAGTGAACACTCTATGTAGGCAGAACTAAACAGTTTTCAAATAACTGAAAACATTGATATTACTAAACAAATGCAAAAAAGATATCTTTGATATTACTAGTAAGCAAAAGTGATATATTATTATCCAAATACAAAGACTTTAGTGTGAAATACTGAAAATACTTGTAAAGAGAAACATGCTACATATGTCAATTTAATAATTATAAACTTAAATGAAGATGAAGATAGTCTTGTTCAGCCTGTGCTCACAGGTACAAATGGAAAATAGAGAAAAAAATAAACATAAGTGTATGAACGGGTGTGCACCAGTGAGAAATCTTTACCTAAAGTTCATGGTGATGATATCCCTGCAATCTCCAGTATCACCATCCTCTCAGTATGTCATTCTGAAATTCTATTTGGAGCTATAGAATTCAGAGCCCTGGGTATGTAAGAGATCTGGTAGTGTTCAGATTCAGTAGATCTAGCAAAGTAGAAAAGATCAAATACTACAGTGACGGTAAGCATTATGAATTTTTATTGCCCACAAAAAAGGAAAATTTTTAAAAGCAAGAAAGATATTGCTGGAAGCACCATTGTTCAAAGGGGAGGACAGATGAGTTATGTAGAGGCAATAAAAGCTATTTAGTGGTCTACCATAATGTGAACCATCCATTTAGTACTAGACTTAAAAACAAACAAACAAACAAAATTCTTGGATTTTAAAGTGTTCATCAAAATCAGATAAGGACTTCTGTTTGGGGGTTTTTTGGTGTTGGTTTTTTTTTTCAGATTTGAAACAGAGTTGTGTTTGCTAGTTTTTAAAGTAGAGGATGTTTAATGATATTTCCCATTATAGTATCGCAGCTACTTGTGCTAATATTTTAAAACAGGATGACAACAATGATAAACTTCAAAAATGCAATTGCATGGAAGTATCTAAGACAGGACTATAGGGCACAATCAGCTGTAGGTCCTGGAATAAATTGCCGAAGTCACTATGTCTGCAGACATTGCTCTAAATGCCTCCTAATGTTGCCAGCATTTAGCCTTCCTATTTTAACTGTCTTTTCTTAATGTGGGTAAGCAGCATGAAGACCTGCTGAATTTAATACTGGGAGTGCTGCGTTCCTGGAATGATCCCCTGATCCATCTGGCCTCTGAAGTACAAAGAATCAAAGAAGCTCCAGATACCATCCTCTGGAAGGCTGTGGAGATCGAAGAGCAAAACAAGCGGCTTCTAGAAGGAATGGAGAAAATAGTAGGTCGGGTAAGTATTGGGTCCTTAACATCCTTCCACTCTGTTGCTGTTAAGGAAGACTCACGTAGTGATAGGCCCTCCCTACCTGGAATTGGAAAGGAAACGGACAATGGTTAGGAAAAAAATGTGAGCCAGCATAGCTGAATTTGAGAACTTTTCAGCTTTCTTCTCTCAGTTTTCTTTTCTGCTGCCATCTAGTAATTTCTAAAGAGACAATGTGACGTGACTGGCATAGCAGTGTATTCCTAGTCCTGCTTCAAGGGAAGGTGTAACCATTAACACTGGTAATTGCCATTCAATCTTTGACTATTTAGAATTTGTAATCTCATTTTCCATATGAGCTATTTATGTTTTAGCATGTTTATACACATCTGTATACAGGTATTGTGTAGCGTTTCCAGAAGCAGATGTTGTGGTTAAAACTGTTCTGGAAGTCTGGGCTATTGTAAAGTTGTGGCACACAACATAGTGAACTGTGGTATCTCGTTTCTCTTTTCCCACCATATTGGCTCCTCTGAACTCTGACTTGGTTCCCCCCACACTTGTGAGGTTAGAAAGCAAGGCTGTTTTCTGAAGAAACCCATCCTCGAATACCCCTTGTTATCAGTAATTGATTGAAAGCTTTACTGAATAAAATCAGCTCTAGCGTGTTTATTTTTTTAAGGGGCCTCTGTTAGGCCCTGAATACATCATTCTGTCAGTGAGCTAGATGTTAACAAGGGGTTCTGACTTCACTGGCTTTTACTTAGGCTCTGAACAGTTGAACAGCATTAAGAGCGCTACCATCACTGTATCCATCATTTTCCATCACTCATGGTCTCTTTCTTTCAGTTAGGTGTCTCTTTACTCAGAAATCTTAGCCCATCCAGGCCACAAATGCATTTATCAGTGTAATCAAATACATCTCTGCCCCATATCCATGAGTAAAAAGGGTGCAGGCAAGGATCCAGGATAACAGTTGAAGTCAGGTGCTAATACAGTTACACTGTCATCACCTTCTCATTCACGTTATTTACAGAAGGAAGTTGAAGACAAGGGTGGCAAATTCATTAGTGTCAAACCACATTTTTGAGTGATAGTAGGTCTCTTTTTTTTCTTTTTTTTTTTTTGCCTTTGCTTAAACAGAGTGATAGAGGCTCCACAGATATTCTCCTATGTGCTTTTACAAAGTACAGCTGGTGGGAAATAAGGAAGATACACAAGCACCAATAGCCACTGATATCCTTCCAGCTATGAAATACGAAAGGCAGATTTTCCCGATATGAAAAAAAATCAATTATTGCTTCTTTCAAGTAAAGAGACCTAAACCAATCTTTACCCCAGATACTAACTTACTACATGAGGTCCTACACATAGCTCCCTAATATTAGAGGTCACTTTATCACTTAGCTTTTTTGTAGAATCTGAAGTACAGTACATCTGGAGATGTACTGTTGAGACATTTGTCTGGTAACGTGCTCCTGTAGCTACCTGTATCACAGAGAAATCACCCAAGACATGAGTCGAGAGAAATCTGAAGATACACAGAAAGAGGTTTAGGAACAAGTGTTAACAAAGATTTCAAGGCAGAAGGAACCAAAAAGAGATGTCACTGATGAGTCCATGCATGAAGAGAGGTTAGATTTCTTTGCAGATTCCTCTGGACATTGGTTAACACACTAGTTCTCTTAAAACGCTGTTGATACAGTTAAGCTTTTTACATATTTTAGGGAAATAAACTGGAAAATCTGACAAATTCATTCAAAATCTTCATGAAGATATAAAACATTATCCAGAATAGTGGGAAGTATAACAGGAAACACCTTCCAAGACATACACTAGCAACTAGCATTCCCTAAGGTCAGTATTTTAGATGCTCTGTTCTACATCTAGCCAGATTCACTATCATTTATTGCAGTATCATTTCATGTCTTTAGGTTCATTCTGGTGAGATTGGAAATGAAATTTACTCTCCATGGGAAGGCCTTCCCTCCCTGCAACTCGATGATGAGGACTCCAGACTCTTTGCCTTTTACAACCTGCTGCATTGCCTCCGCCGAGATTCCCACAAAATCGACAACTATCTCAAAGTTCTGAAGTGCCGCCTAATCCACGATAGCAATTGTTAATTACTCATGGGCCTGATCACTTACTGAAATCATTCATCGTGATATTCTTTTGCTTCGCTACTTTTCATTGCAAACTTTTTGAAAAGTCATACTTCACAGTATCAGGATCATCAGTACTTTTCAGGCATGTTAGTGTGAATTCTGGCTGCAACAATTAGGATCATTTATCTTGGTGTTTAAAATGGTATAAACACTTGTATGACAAGAATACACTTTTGTGTCTAATCTCCTCACCTGGTAGAATTTCAGTGGTAATCAGATAATGTAGATAAAAATAAAAATGTTATTAAATCCAAAAATGCATAACACTGGGTAGTATCAGTGAATGAAGTATTGGATATGGTTCATACCTTTAGTGGTATCTTCTCCTTTTGGATCTCAGTCTCCAGCTATTGATGAAAGGACGTCTTACTCCCATTGCTCTTTACACCCTCTCCAAAAATGAGGGAAAAAAGCCCTGAGGAACACAAATAAGTAGATTAATCACCTATTACATGAAACTACCCTACACTAAAAGTATGGCCTGAAATCCAGTCTACTTAGATTGATGGGTTTACTTTGTACAGAAAATGTCTAAGTAGGCAAGAGACATGTAAGAAATATATCCTGGCTAACACAGGCATTGATTCCCCATGTGGTCCATGGAGAGAGAAGACACATCTGGAATTTTAAGAACAGAGATCAGGTATATCTACATCTCTTCTGACTATTTGGAAAAGAAGCATTTCCAAACAAAAGTTCATTATTTTTGAGGTGACTAGTGCTAGACTGAGTGCAAAGGATTTAAGTAAGTCCCAAAAGGAAATGCTGGGCATCTATGTCATATTCACCTACCCATCCCATTCCTTGGAAGTGTGGTGGTTGCAGTTACTCAGAAAACTTTCAAGATACAAAAAGCTACTAGCTGAGCTAAGGTGTCTCCTGTCCTAACCCACAGTGTCTTTGGGTTTCGCCACACTGAAAGCTTTTAGGACACCCATTTCAAAACATTACTTGTAAACACTGGAAAATAGGAAAGACCAACACAATTGAAAAATTAAAAAAAAAAAAAAATCTGGCTTGCAATCACATAGCAAATAAGAAGCTAAAGAGCAGCTGGAGTCCTTGGCCATATCTATATTCTGTCTTTGTAAGCTATAAACAAACTCAACCTTGGCTTCATCACACAGCTTCAGCAAAGAGGAGCTTAAATTCAAATTAGATCCTCATGGGTCTGGCTTCCCACTAAACAAGCTTGCTGCATTGCTCCAGAATTGAGCCAGTTTATAGGAAGAGAGAAACACCAGAGAAGATGGGCTTGAGGGCTTAAACTGCTCATTACCACAACAAAATAAGCACAACCATGATGGGTATTTATGTATGGGATTAGATAACTCAAACTACTAGAAAGGTCTAATTTTAGCCATCTCTATAAGGATATGATGATACTCGCGTTTCTAATTATGTGTATATATATATAATGGCCTTCAATTCTCTTCATGTTTTCAATTATTGACTGCCTCAGGCTTTATCTGGATAAGTATATACTAAGCTCATTTTTAATATATATAAAATTACCTGTACAGCAAACAAATTTCTTGTTGGGCAGTCATAGCTGACATCTTTCATAAGGTCTGAAATGCACAAATCTTCAGGCATATGCAACAGCAAGTTAACAATACACAGCTGTATAACATCACAGTCAAGGAAGAAAATAGATAAAATTTGCCAGGCAAAATGCAAGTGCTCAAACTAGAATTTAATATGACCATAATATTCTATTTTCTGTTATCATGCCAATGGGGGAAAAAAGCATTTTAAAAAGTAAAAGAAAAAAAAAATCCTTTGTAATTATCACAAGTGCTTAGAATTACAGCGTGAGTTCTTATTCAAAAGAAAACATGAATAATGGGACTACTCAGTATTGAGCTAGAAAAACGACTATGTCTCGCTGAGTAAACTCCTACCTCAGAATCTCTTTAGAATTCAAAAGCAACTTGATTAATAGGGCAGACATTCACAATTTTACATTTACATGACTAGATCTGAAACAATGACTTTCATTATGTGCTTAAAAATTACAGTGCTAAAACAATTGCTTAAAACTTGCATGCACTGGCTTTATTATAGACTGGTTTAGTACAATTATGAGGTTTTAATTTCATAAAAAAGATAGAAAAGAATGGCTTTAAAAGATTCTAAACAACTGAAAAGCTATCTGGTTTGCAGCTGTTTAGTTAAAGGGGTATTTAAAAGTGATCTGGTTAATATTCTGAGTCATCCCAGCTGTCACAGAGACAGAAAGCCGTCAAACCCCACGAGCACATTCAAAGCTACACCTTCATTGTCAAGTGCCCTGGCACAGACAATGCCTTCAGACTCTGAATGTTCAAGCCACAATATAGGCAAATTGGCAATTCTCCTTTTTTTCAGTTGCTCATGGGAAAAATACATTCTTATCTCACTAATATTTTGTTAATTAGTGCATGCTCATAAAACATAAAAAGTATTGTCTTGCGCCCAATAGAAATAGTTACATAGCTAATCTCATACAGAACTGAATTTAGAACAAGCATATTCTTTCAAAATGAAAGAAACTGATATCAGTAAGATTTTTCTTCCAAGTGCACTAACTTCTGGCTACTTCAGGTCTCTAGCATTTGAAATGCCTGGTTTTCAAATTATTTATTCAATACCAAAGTTTGCCTTATTTAAGTCTCTGCTGGTTTATTTACTTCTGTTCATTTAAGATTGCTTACTTTCAGGAATGGAAAGGTCCACCACATGACTGAAATACAGGCTCAGTTATGTTCCCTTTGAAAATTATATTCAAGCTTACATAGATGGCACAAAATTTAAAATCATAGAATCACAGAACCAACTAGGTTGGAAAAGACCTTTAAGGTTGGAAAAGACCTTTAAGGTTGGAAAAGACCTTTAAGGTTGGACCTCAAGTACAACATTTACCCCAGGGCTGCCAAGATCACCACTAAACCATGTAACTGAGGGCCTCGTCTACATGGTTTTTGAACACTTCCAGAGATGGTGATTCTACCACTTCCCTGGGCAGCCTGTTCCAATACCTGATCACCCTTTCTGTGGAAAAAATTTCCTAATATCCAATCTAACCCTCCCATGGCGCAGCTTGAGGCTGTTACCTCTTGTTCTGTCTCTTCATACTTGGGAGAAGAGACCAACACCCACCTGCAAATTAGTTTGGTAAACCTTGAAGACTGAAGCCGAGCCTCAACGTTCTATTCAATTAAAATTTAACTATCCATAGGTTTATGCTATGTGTAAAAAATAAGTTTTAAACTACTTTTAGAACATAATTATACCTTTTTTAAGTTGCTTATGCTCGTATCCATTTTCAGGAATGAAGCTACGTCCAAAGAAGCATCACCCTTGGAAAACAATATCAGCCAGTTTTCCAGTATTTTTTTCCAAAAAAAATATCAATGACTATCAGATAACATTTCAACAACATCTACTACCACTGGGATTTTAATTTTTTATTTAGATATATTCCCCCATAAGTGAACTTTTTAAAAATGCATATTTTCTCAAAGTGATTTCTCATTTCCTTTCATGCATTCAACTATGAGAAGGAAATTAAAACAGATGAGTAGGGGTGCCTAATGTCCTCTGAACTGTATCTTTTTTCCACACAGGTGAAAGCATCACGTATTGTCCTTATCTATGGTGAAAAGAAGGGTGCAGCGAGTTCTCCAATTTTCTTTGATTTTTTTGTTTGTTTTTTTTAAGGTCCCATGTACAGATTCTATGGAACAGAAAGAAAATACAATTCCATTTTAAAGGAAAACACAAAGCCTAAGTTTTAATCGATAATTGTATTGTACATTGAGGGAAAACCCACTGCATTCTCTTTCATGTCATCATGTTTATGCTCTTTTAATTATCCAAGAAGCACTAGAATCTCACACTAACATCCTGCTTATTGTGGGAAGAATAAGTTGTCATGGCATACTGCCTTCTAATTCATGGGTCCAAAAGTGAATTGCAGGATATAATCATTTTTTCTTCCTTTCCTTATGAAGGAGTTCTGAAGTTCATCAAGTGGTAACATTTTATTGGCCAGTTATCATAATCATAGAATAACCTAGGTTGGAAAAGACTTTTAAGATCATCAAGTCCAACCATATCTTATTTTTCTTCCCCTGTACACATTGCAAGTGATAAAAAGCTGAGAGAAAGGAGGCGATAGAAAGGCTTTCAGGGTCACAGAAACACTCGGTCTCTGGCTCAAGAAGTACTAATGTATAGGTAGACGAATGTTCATTTCCTATTTACTACTGACACTGGTCCCACTAAAAGTCTTAAGGACATGTCTTGGTAGGAGCTCTTAACTGGAAACGCCTAAATTTCACAACCATTTAAAAAAAAATATTGCACAGACATCAGTGAAATTCTGTTAAAGAGCACCTTCAAACACTTATTTACATTTTATCCAGTCTGTTATCAGAAAGTTCTTTGCTAAGTATAAAAAAGGAATAGAATTTACTGACAATATGTAAGAGTAGTAGTCCCTCAAAAAATTCACTTTCCCTGTCAAACACTTTTCCCTTTTTAATAAATGGTTCATTACACTGAAGAGTTCAGATCACTTATTAATTCACATGAGTGACAGTGTGAGTCATCAAATATGCTAATTTGTGCACTAAATGACTAATTATAAAAATATTCCTATTTACTGATGGAGTTCTTTCACCAATCAAGCTGAGTACCTCTCTTCAGCTTTCAGTGCCAAATAAGTCAGAAGTTAGTGAAGAATATTACAGCTTTTACCATATGATCAGAAAAATTAAAACTGCATTTATCAACCAATGCACTGTTACTGTACACTAACACTAAACAAAAAAAAGGGTCCCTTCCCAGCTCTGTTTACTTATAATTCAAACAAGTAGAACTTGGAAGTATGCAAAGTGTGGTATATAACATAGCTTGTCCCTCTCTCATTCTTTTCACTCCATCACTAATTAGAAATAATTCCTGAAAAATAT